TAAATAATATAAATCAATCATTCATATACACCACATCAACCTTAATTCACGAGTCATCCACTCACATTATTTTAACTAACCATCACATCAAATCATCTATCTCCTACTTTTACATAAAATCAATTTTATTTTATTTTAAATATTATTTTAATATACCCACTAACAACTAACCATACAACTTTTTTTCTAAAATTAATCAAACCAAACCAAAAAATCTCACAAACTCCAAAAATTTTCATAAACAAACATCCCCGAAGTCGTCCTTCAGAAGGAACTAAAACATTCTCACCTACATAAAGTGATGAATTTCAAATGTTCTGAAGAAAACACCAAAAGTTCAAGATTGGAACACTTTTTGGGTCAAGATTTAAAATGCTTGGTCTCATGCAATGCTCACTAAAGTCACTGAAGCATATGATTTGATTAATCAGTAAGAAACGTTGTCGATTCTATTATTCACTATACCTTGGATAATTTGTATCTATTTCGGCATAACATTTATGCTCGTATATTTATTTCCTGTCAAACTTAATCTGTCATGGAAATTGAATACGCGACAAGAAATGCGAAACAAAACACCAATATAAAATTCGCAACAGAGATACACCTAAAAGGACATACTAACACATAACAAAACTAAATAACTTACCACCATAACTTATTTCTACCGACACTACGCAGGAATTCCTGTTTTGCTTCTCAATTCGGAACGAACTCTTTGATTTCACTGCGCTGCGAAAATTTTGTATGGTCTTCAATTTCACCTTCCCGAAGGGCCCTTTGACTTCACTGCGCTTTGCTTCGTTTGTATGGTCGAGACTCACTTTGTTCTCCTTCACTTTATTTTGTTTCATTCTTAGGGTCGAGTTCGCCCATCTTGCTAATAACCTGCTCCTTGATAGAGATTCAAGTTTGTATCTTCTCTTTGGGTCCATCTCTAGCGAGAGAGAATTTTGTTGGGTCTATGATTATTGAATTAGAAAGTACACACTTGTTAATTGTTATTATTATAAAATAAAAATAATATATACTCTAAGGTATCAGGCTTGTTTGGCAATCAATAGCGGATTGTGTCAGTTGTTGGCAATGAGATGTTTGTTGTTGGCTATTAATATATAAAAATATTTGTAATATACTTTAATATATTTTTTTTAGGTTATAACGATAACCACCTAAAATATAGATTATTTACGTATTTAAAAAATTAAAAATTAACTAATAATGATATATTGGTAGATATATAATTTTCCTGCCTTGAGTATTTGAATTGAAGATTAAAAGAGTAACTAAATTGTCAAACAAGTTTATTTTGGTCACAAAGTATTGGCCAAAACATCATTATCCAAACAAGGCCATATTTTTAGTTTCACATTTTAAAGCATAAACTTTTATAATAAAAAAAGTAGATAAACTTTATTAGAAGATTAATAAGTTTTTCTACAACATCAGAAAAGTTATAGTAAATTCTCATTAGATAATCTACGTCATAAAATTGTTACTAAATCATATATATATACATGTCAATATTATTATATATAGATGTCAAGATTATTTTATTTAATAAAATATATTAACATTATTTATACACATTATACAAAAAAATTACCAATAACATATAATGCAAAAAAAAAA